CAGGCTTCACGCGGTTAACGACGACGCGGCCCGTTGAGGTATACCGTGAGGCTGTTGAGCGCATCAAGGCGTTCTGCCAGCGTCACGCGGCCGTTTAGCCGCAGAGGGTTCATTCCGCGACCGGCGTCAGGCAACACGACGCATCCAAGGCGTAATTAGTGTTTTCCGTCATCTATTTATTTAATGAAATCATTTAACTGGTTGATTTTATCTGCGGTAGGGCGGGGTATGCGTATGTGTGGATGGGAGTACTGTTTAACACTGCGGCTTTTTTGTGTTTTTTGTTTTTTTTGGGTGTGGGGGATGGGCTTTACTGGTCCGTTGAGCAATCGTGGTAAGAAGTAAAAGAAAAAAAAAACGTCGAATCTCTTTTAGTTTAACATCTTTTTTTTTTTTTTTTTTTTGGTTTTATTTTATTCCTTATGATGTGGGGGGGGGGGGGCATTTTTGTCCTCTTACCATTTTCCTGCTTGACATGCCGCCTCTTTTGGTCCCGGATCGCTGCCCGTCCGTGCGCCCGAGTGTGTGGCATTCCAATCTTTTCTTTCCTCCTTTCCCTTCGCTGTTTTTTTTTTGTGGACCCACAGTCTGTCCCGCAAGGAATTGTTGTAATGGCTTATTGATTTGGCAGCACGTGCCCTGTAAGGCGTGCCCCCAGACCTCGTGGTGCTGTGCCGTGCCCCAGCAAGACGCAGCTGGTCCGGGCGCTGGTTGTGATGCCGTCAGCCCCGCGCCAACAACGACGACCCCATGAGGGAAACATTGCTGGCTCCTGGCTTCCCCCGACAATACGGGGCGATTGACACTGGCGTACCACGCTGAGGCGGCCGGCGTTGCCAGGGCCGCGGTCTCCCGTTGGGCTCTTCGCTTTTTCCTGGAGGACACCGCCGTCCGCTTCTCCGCGGCGCCATCGACAAATCCACGGGAAGGCCGACTTGAAATAGACATCACCTCCGTTGTGGAGAGCCCCATGTTGCAAGTGGGGCCGGAGTGCCCGGTGTCACGCATGCTGTACCTCTTCAAGTCACTGGGAGTGCGTCATATCATGGTGTGCCGCCGCTCGAGGTTTGTCGGCTACATCAGCAAGAAGGACTTTGTAAAGTTTTTGCGTGAGGCCGAGCGGGAAGAGCAATTGAGGAACATGTAGCTCGCCACGACAAGGGGGGCATGGCACATCGTGCCCGACGTCGTCAGCGGACGTGAGTGGGCAAAAGGTAAAAAAATTGCCTCAAGAGTGAACAAAAGAAGGGGGAGTTGTGGTGCCGGCGGTGTTTGTAAGGAAGGCAAAGAGTCAAGGCAAAAGCAAATATTGTGTATGTGGGTATGTGTGTGTTGGGGTCCGCGGCTGCCAGGACGACAACTCCGTCTGGTATTCCGTCTTCTTCTTCCCCCGCTGCTTTCTCTCTTGTTTTGCTTTGTGGCTGTTGTCCTTTTGTGTGTGCGTCTACGCCCCT